CCTTTTGGTCGTCTTGCCTAAGCAGAAACAGTTCATTGTCATTGGAGAGGATGTCGGTGATGAAATGCGCCGACTCCAGGTTGGGATCGATGCCGAAAACGAACCCATTGATTGCTGTCACTAAAACAAAACAAAAATGCAAATTTGACGTTGGCGGGCTAGACACGAACCAATCATATTGAAGTATCAAGCAGCGAAACTATGCTACTCACTTGATTTGACCTTCCCACTACTTAAGCATTTGTTAGTAGTACTGCACACATATATTTACTTAATTTTTGCGAAGTTACGCCCTACAAATCCGTGAGGTTTGTCGGAAATTTGACTACCCTAAGGGGCACTGCACACATTTTTGAATTCCGCGCCCTCATCCCATTGGTTCACTACAACTGATTATCTTACTGACTCTTAAAGATTTAAATTGGTGGTGAGCTGAAGTCGCACTTGGTTCGTTTTGTTATTGACAGAAAACAGGTCTACGAAGAATTGTGAGAACGCCAGATAAGTGGTAACAGGTTTGCGGGAAAAAAGGGAAAAGCATGATAGCGAGGAATTACCCAACTGAAAAGGCATTTTGCAGTGTCCTGCTATAATGTGCTTCTTTGCACAATTCTGTGCCACAACCCACCAATCAAGTTCGGCCAGTTTTGTGTGGGACTTTAAAAATTACTTACTACTGATATGATTTAAATAAGATTGCGAACTTACTGTCGAGGAATATCCATTGTTTTGGGAGGACTGTGGACGCGCTACAATTGGGTGAGTTCGAAAAGTGCTTGATCTGGCGGCGGACAGCACTGAGGTCTGAGTAGGGCCCAATTCGTAGACTAACAAAGTGTTGGGCTAAACGCATAAAACAGTGCCTTGAAAATAGGAGCGAATGACTGGCCTGGATTTGCAAGGGTGACAAAATATTATAGGAAGTGTGCGTGACATGAAGTCACAAGAGCTGATTTTGTAGAAAAATCTTTATTAAACCTCATAATCACGAGCAAATCGCACAAGTCAAATGAACCAATCAACAGGAGGTCTCACCTGATTGGCACAAATGGTCAAGCGTTTCCGGAGTGCCTGATTGGTCGGGGTAAATGATGTAGATCTTGACCAATCGGCCGCTTGTATTGGCTGCACTGAAACTGTTAACATGACAAAATCGGAGTGTTTTGTGATGAAAAATTTTGAAAAAAAGATAAATAACCTCAAGCAGTTTGTGTTAGAGCTTTGCTCACAAGAGAAACGTTTAACACGGCGTGCAGGTTTCAATTGCAAGGCAAGTGTACAAAGAGACTGGTGGTTGCGATGTCAATGGTAATTTTAGAAATCCACAATTTATCATTTCAAATTGAACACGTGACCTTGGACAAAATCAAGTAGATAATCAATACTGGACAATGAGGATTGGAGGTGGTGGTGGTAGATAAGCAGAATCTGTCACTGGTACATGGACACACAAGTGTAGGAACGTCTCAGATTGTAAGGATGTGCAACGGAACCGATCAGGGCAAATAACTACCTCGTTTTCAAAAAAATCAATATTGAAAAAGAAGAGAAGACAAGGTAAGTAGGTGTTGGGATCTCAATCGATCTTCAGAATGGCTAGGCCTGATTGGTCAGTGTCTAACCGCATTTCATCCAATTGGATGGCAATGCCTTTGGTTACCCAATTTCTTGTCTATAGGTTAGCCAAAATGCTGTTCAGTGATGAAGATCAACGCTAAAATCCACATTTAGCGCTGTTTGCCTCCAAAAAAAGCACTTAAAACCCCCCTCAAGGTTCTCTGTCTTCTCTTGGGGAGCGTTTTTGGGAAAATCAACGCCGAAATCTCGTGCAACTACTCTACTAAACTTATACTCCCATCCCAGAGAAACTGATAGTATCAGTCCGTTTTGCAGAGTTGAAACATCATCCACAAGAAACACTCAAGTCGCTAGCGCCTCAACCTACAGCCCTACGGATGCCAAATTCGGAGGCTTTTTTTCCCACAAAGATGACGCTCTCCCACTAGGGAACTCACTGAGCTGGTGAGGAGCCATCGATTCGTCGCGACTTCTGCACAACGAAGGCCTGATTACGCAATTTGATGGTGATGATGGAGGGCCCCAGTCGGCACGGCTCGCCGTCGACCTGCATTGGAATGACCTTGCGTGTGGTCAGCTGGACCTCGGAGCACTGGCAGATCCTGTCACCGTGACCGCCCATTTGCAGGGTTGCCTGTGGAGGTTTGCGAATCGATCAGTGCGGCTACATCTAGGGCCTTGCAGGGGTCTCGGTTAGGCAATAAATTTACACAATTTGCTGTTTAATGCAACAATGTGGGAGAGTTTCATGAGGCATATCGGTGGCTGGGTGACCTTGAGGGCCCGTGAAAGCGCGGTTGAAGTAAGAAAAACGACATGGACACCGCGTGTAAAAATGCCGCGTTTTGCCCCACCATCAAGGTTTCTGCTAATTCAAGTTGACGTTATTAGCGCTGCATTGCCCACGCAGTACTTTTTACGTGTGCAACAAATTTATTGGGCAATAAAATCTACTAATGACGAGCCCACTTGCTGGACTTAATGTACTTCGTGCGGAGTTAGCAAAATTTAGTTTTATGTGAATGCTTAAACCAATCGACATTTAATGCACAACACACACACATTGCAAAACAACGTTAGACCAATCAAAAACGGGCAAAACATACCAATGAGGCGGTCGTCAGACCGATTACTTCAATTTTCTTATCATCTATTCGCTGTTGGCTTTCGGGATCTGAAGAGTGGCCCCACGGCACGGTCCCCGCGCTGTATCTTTAAAATACAACAGAAATGTCAGGACCAAGGTGCCTGAGTCTCCAAAAACGATGTTTTTTAAAACACTCCATCGTCAATCGATGATTGGCTGGCATGGCAGTAACCAATCAGAAACTGGGACCTAAGAGCAGGTGGAATATGCGCTGAATCACACGTCAGCAAGCGAATCGCCCTCTTTCGTGTGGCGTTGATGATAGAGGGGGGTAGGGTGTGGAAAATGCTCGAGCCGACAGACGCTAAGTAAGGCTTTAGCTTATACCGCCCCGGTCTCAATCAGAGGGCCAATAAAATCTGCCCCGCTGCACGCAAAGTCTACAGGCCCGACTAATGGATTGAGAATCGGAGCGCCGAGCAAGGCCTGTGTGTGTGTGTGTGTTCGTGTGTCTGACAGCGAGACACGTCTAGCATCCCGCCCTAATGTCTTGTGAAAAACGGGTTTGCCTCAATGCACGGGTTAAACTCACAAGACTTACTTACTTCGGAATGTTTAAAAAGAGCAGCACATGAGGCCGGAGTTCGGTCAGTCGACTCGTCAAGTTAACTCCATCACACTAGGACAGGGACAAGAAAATAGGGTAAAAGAACATTACCATCTGGCAAGGCAATTTTTCTCGATTTGAGCAGAAAAAAGAAGGACAACATTCTGGCCAGTGTTTTTGGCCGTTCTTGCCAGATGCTTATTTACTGTTAGCCAGTGCGAATCTCATTAGTGAGTACAACTGACTCAGTTGATTTTAATCGAAAATTAGCGCCAATTTGCGCACGGCAGACGAGCGAGTAATTGACTTGATATCAGATCGTCACCTGATTGGTCACTTGCTCTGCTCCGACACGTGTTTCTATTGGATGATTGCAAAAACTAGGGTAAATAGAAAACATTTTATGAAAAAAACAAACAAGGTCCTCTTATATATTTTCCTTAAGCCTTTTTCATGCTTTTGGACTCTTCTTTTGAATAAACTGTGTAGCAGTGTAGTGTAGGTTTGATATCTTCCACGAAATCAAGATTTTTGCCGACCAGATTATTTTGCCGAAAACCGAATAGGAAAAAATCTGGAAGAGCATGTTTAGAGGAATTCTGGGGACGCAGTTTAAGCACTTCCCATTTCGCAGTGAACGCTGAGCCGGATGTGATCCAGCGTGGGCGTCGCAGAATAAGATGCCACTTCAACTGACCAAATTTGCCATTTTGTCTTGGATTTCAACAAATTGCATTCCACTTCCAATTATGACTTAACGCGGGAAAGTGTCATCAAAGGTTCTGGAACACATAAACCAAGCTTTCTAGTGCATCCAAGTTGCTTTAAATCGCGACATGCAGTCAAATTGTCAACATTTGGCCTCACCGATCTCTTTTTAGCGGTAATTTGTAGACTATTGTTCACTAGATCACGGACAAAGTCATTATCACCGCCTCAAGGTCACCCACAGTGAAATGTATCGTGTTCAAATATATTAAACCGCTTTGAAACATTTTAAAGAACAACAGTAAGATCGAAAAAAAAGCGTTGTAAATATCTGTTGCAACAGTTTGAAACCGCGCCTTTTTAAACTGACGCAACCAATCGTGAGTAAAATGTAGCCTTTCTCCTTACCTTTTGAATATACCTCTACATTACAAGTCAATTAAAACAAAATCAATTAAGTTCTCAACAGTAGAATTAATTGCCCGAGATTTCACTGTCCAAAATCACGAATGGTAAACACAATTGTTGGGAATCAGTTGTGATTTATCATTCAGCTAGAGGCTTTTGTGTTGAGAAAAACAATGTTGATTACGAACATAATGGCGTTTTGTCCAATGAGAGCACAGCTTACAGCCAGGTCTGTAAACACAGGAGATCTACCAACGTGAGAAGATTTGGCTATCGCGCGTTAAGCTACTGACTCACGCAGTGAACTATCACCAGGAGGCATGAAGACTAAACGAAACGTGTAAAATGACGAAGAGACTGTAAATTGAGCGAAATTTCCAACCAGCCGGTTTCTCAAGGCAGCATTAAAATAACGCCTCGCGACCAATTGGACCTGACAACATTTCCCATCCCAATGAAGTGTCGTGGAGCAGTTTTGTCGCGGACGTAGGGTTTGTGAATTTTGTGGCTAAATTCGAATGAACACACCGAAACACGGGCTTAACTGTTGAAATGCTGCCTTTGAAATTTAAAAATGGTGGCAAAAATCATGCGAATGCTGGATTACTAAACGTACGTTTTATGCGAAAAATTGAACCAATTAGCATTCACATTTAACTGGATGCTGTCTGCGAATGCTGTATTTGCTGACTGATAGGTTAGATCTTCATGTCAAAATGCACCAATTGAGAAATTTGCAAGATTTTTTGGGTTATACAGTGTGGTGGACGGATCAAAATGAGCAGAACTCACTATCAAGGTCACGTAGTCGGAGAGATCTTTCCACGAACGCTTGATCAAATCCTTCCCTCCGACCTGCAATAACAACAGGGAGACATCTAGGAATACGCACTTTCTCCTTCCACGACCTCCATGTGGACAACGGTGAAGAAGCCACTATCCTGACTCGATTGCATACGTTTAAAATTGGATTGAACAATTGAACTGCTATTTACAGACCATCTATCCCAATCTAGTGTCGCTGCACGTGGCTTCGAAGAACGGTGACGTCGAAAATTTGCGTCGACTGGACAGATCTGTGAGGGCCATATACACAGAGACCAACGAATTTATGAAACGGTGAAGAGGGCTTGTTATTTCTTTTGTTCTTGTTTAAATTTAGCATTGATTCATGAGGAAGAACGCAGACAGACCTCCACCTCAACACATCGTGAACAAGGTCAACATTTTGCGGCATTCTCTGTTATTTGATTGGAATTATAACAATTGTTATTAGCATTGTCTGGTGGTAAATAGTTTGGCAGGTGTTCAAGCAACAACCAACGACAAAGCACACGATACTCACTTTGATAGTCAAAATGGAGTTCTCCTGTGCTGCGAACTTACCCCAGCATAGAATATTTTGTTCTTTAATCGACTATTGAAACGGTCTGGATTGGCCTCTAAAAGAAAGCAACTTTGCTAAAATATTGATTTTTCACCCCGCGCTTGTAGACAGCCAATGAAATTACTGGTCAAACTCCAAGGCTGCAAGTTGATTGGTCATCATGCCTGGATAATTTGAGCACAAAAAAATCAAGCCAGGCTTTCTAAACCTGTCATGTAAGTTACGCAGCATAGCAAGACCATCCTGTAAACATTTCCAAACCGTTGGAATGTACCTTACATCTACCAGGTCGGGCTAAAAACAGCAACTGTCCTGAATGCGGATTTCCGCTCAAAAATTAGACAAGAGTGCTCAACGTTGTGTGATTCTATGAAGCGTCGAAAGGGGACCAATCAGAAGCCTACGTAAGGTGCGCATCCGCCCATGGCTTGTAGCGTAGCGCCGGAAATGCGCGACTCATGGCTACTCAAAATGCCCCCTGGTAACACCCATATTTCTAATCTACCTGGTTTTCGATAAAACTGGTATTCAGGTGGACATTGCAATGGGGAAATCTCTTCATCAAGGGATTTGTTGTGCGATTGTTGCCTTTGGGATCCGTTGAAATACTGCCTCGTTGTGAGGATTTCAGTGTTGCGCACGATACCTACTTAAAAAATGACCAGCATCCTGTATACGAACATCGATGAAACCTATCAAAATATGCCTTTAACAAGAACACTGGTCTCCAAGTTGGACAGACTCCACGTACTTCGAGACTCGTGGAATTCTAGGGCTGTTGCGGCATCGGCTCCAAGGGAAAAGTAGTTATTCATGACGTTCAACGGCAACCTCTCCTCCATTTGGGTCCCTGACGAGAAGGCCTCCGTCTCTTCGTCACAGTCTTGGCTGTTTGGGGTCAGTGGACGACTCGTGATGTTCCACCTGAAAGTCAAACGACACCTGATGTGGAATGCCGGACCGTTGGGTTGAAGACGTGAAAATCGCGCAAGCTTCCGTGCACATTCGTCTCATGACATTAAAACCGACGTCAGGCGACATGATAGCTTAACTTAATACTCATTTTAGCAAAAATAAATTTATAAGATTCTTAATTTCGACTTGTATCTTGCAAAAGATCCAAGACTGTCTACGATGGAATAAAACAAACGGTTCGACACATTTTCTAAGCACTATGTTCGACCTCAAGTCGGCCTCTACGCACCGTCAGGCGCGTTGAGTTTGGTTTTCCGATTTCTTGTTTAAATGAACTGCACCAGGCTAGAGTGCGTACACTTATAACCTACAACTATCAACATCTTGAGGTTTAAGCTGCCGTTGGAAAACGTCTTGGGGAGTTGGACTTACCGGTCGAGCAGAACCACGCGTCCTTCTTCAACCGACGTCAGGATCTTCGACAGCGGCTCTTCCGTGTACCCCTGAATGCAAGCACAGAAAAACCCTTCAACGATGGTCGATCGACTTGGTGTAGTTCAACTCAGTCGCTTAAATTGAATCAACGCCTCTACAACGCAAGATTAGCCAGCCTACGTTGCTCAAAACACACTCATCCGATTGGAAACAACTTCTAGCGGGCCGTGACTACACGAATATGACAACTGGACAATTTGATCTACATCAGATGGTTAACTTTAATTGACTCCGCCGATTAACTGCCTCGTGCTCCATTCACGCTTGAGTTGGGGGCGTGATTAGCTTAACGAAAACTCGTCTGGTTGAACTCACAGGTCCCCACTGGAGGGTCCTGGCAAGGTCGTTTCCGGTGCCGAGGGGCAAGACAGCGACCGGTGGGGTGGGGTAGAGACCGAGGGAGTCGATTTCGGAGAGGATCCAGCCAACGGTGCCGTCGCCACCGCAAACCAAAATTCGGGCATTCGGGAGACGTCCAAACAACTCCAGGCTTGGCGTGGGGATGTGAAAATTAAAATTAGCTAGGTTCTGATTAGTCAGCAAATTGACCTCAAACAGAGAGTTGCCCTCAGTGCTGCTATTGGTTGGACCACAAATAAGGCGATCAATTGGTCAAACAATCGATACTAATCATCTAATTAAAGAGATGACACATATTTCCACAACTAAAACCACTAAGCGAGCTAATTATGAGGAGAATAGACCTGGAAATGAAAACGAGATCACTTGTGATTGGTAGTTGGCGTAGTAGTTCCTTGCAGCAAACATTAAATCACCAGGCACACATACGAACCAATTAGATCAAAAACACTCAAGTCAGAAGCCACTGACTATTATCGTATGCCTCCGAAACTGCTTTGATAACGAAACCAGTATTGGTTGGGTTCAAAAGTGCCAAGCAAGTAACCTACCCAAGTTTCGGCCCGTAATCAGAGAGGACGAAGACCTGTCGTGGGTTGAGTAACCCCTGGAACTTCTTGATGAGTCGCACGCCCTGGTTGCCTCCGGCCTTGGGATTGATGAAGACGATCAACGGACACACAGCAGACCTGCACGAGGGCTTTACGACAAAGGGGAACTCGCATGTCGCGCTGGAAACTGGACGAGGCGAGGTTGCGGGTGGCGTGGTGGAAGGCAGAGAGAGTCTGGTCGTGGAAGCGCTGGAGGCCACTACGAGGTCGTCCGCTGACTTCCGCGTCCCAGTCTTCCCAAGAGCTTCCACGGAAGCCGAGGGCTTCAGGGAGGAGGGGCTCAGAGTGAAGGCAGGATTCGACGGACTGCGTCGAACCGATGTACAGTCCATCTCCTGGACGCGGTTAAAAACGCATCAAGCACGCAATGAATGAAGCTGCTTTAGGGTTACCCAAATCTTGTTGTCTACTAGTCCGTAAATGACACCGAATCTTCCGACATTCTATGGTAGTCAGGCAACTTGAAGACTCTAAGGGTGTTCCCGGGGCGCTTCACTAATGTCGGAAAAAATTGGCAAGAAATGTTTGCACTGAAAACTTTCAATGATAACGACCTTTTTGCTAATGCCTTGAAGACACATTTTTAACCAGACGCGAGAAATTCCATTCCAATTTTGGAGCCCAACTGATCGCACGACATTTAGATAAAAGTCGAGATGTCTTTGAACAAGCAGGCAAAGATGGTTTGCGCCTCTTGTGATCGTCTGTGACAAGATGCCGTGTCCTCAATCCAATCAGATTTATCCACTGCACAAAGCGTTATTTGTAGTCCCTTTCAGCGCATCTGTAGTAGGAGCTGCACGTTCACTGGCTACTCATCCAAAGCGAATCGCATTTTTATCTGGAAATTGGCAGATTTTTGACATCTTCTGAGTCAAGTTTTTGTCAAAACACAGCTCGAAATCTCGCGTCCCGTCTGCTGCCTGACTCATTTGGTCGTATAACCGTAAAAATCAGACACTTAATTTGACCTAACGATACACACTTGGGCCAATTTTTTGGTTTGACGTGCAATTGAGACTCGCTAAACACGCGAATGGGAACAATCTGATTGAACAGAAGTGGTGATGGAGAAGTTCGTTACTTCCCAAACCTTTATACACATAATGTGTTTTTGATCTTCCATGCCCAACACGTGCCGTGACCTGCCCTCGTTCTATTGGCTCATTCCCATTCTGAATGTGCCAAGGTCACACGGGGTCATGTTCAATTGGGCGCTACTTACTTGAGAAGGCAAAAGTTCGCCGTAGTAGGAGCTAGGGGAGGAGGGGTTAAATTAGCAGACTCTCAATGGAAGTTCATCCAAACGGGCACATGGATGATGATTGGCATCTGTGATCTCATTGGTCCAAACGCACAATAGCGCATTGTGATTGGTGGTAGTAAAGCACCTGAGTTCACATACTCGGTCTGCTACACAAGTAGAGGGTGACCTGGAATCAAACCAACCAGTCCCCAAGTGATGCCGACCGGTACAGATCTTGTCTATCACCTTCTGTCCAAAAGGTCGACTCACTACATTGAGCATTGACTGAATGCACGGTATTCGCCCAAATCTTGCGTGGGCGTGAGGCTCATTTTAGCATGTGTGTGTGTGCTTGCATAAGTCGGCCAGATGTTGACAGGCGTAAATTATGAATGGAAAAAGCAAACCACAACCGCAGACCACGTGATTTCAGTTATAAACCACATGATTTGGGGATAGCGCTGGAGACCGAAATGAAAGGAAGGCGACGAAGCCAAGTACAGGTTAGGAAACTTTGAGATCTCCAAGCTACACGTAAAGAAGGTTTCATTGGCACAAACAACCCCGTGTCATTATCAAGGATTCCTAGCTGGTAACAAATTAAAGTTACTGTTTACCATGAGATCTGGAATTTCGTTTGTGTTGTAATTTTTACAGAAGTCAAAGGCGATGACGGTGACAGCACAAACTCAATCAAAGAGAATGCAATCAGTTTAGTGATGCATTCAGAAGTAGCACTGAACAGGGAACTGCCACTTATCGATTAATAGATCGATTACAAAGAACCACAACTACGCCTTGGCTAAGATAAGTAAACGAGGTGGCAAAGTGATGTAGAGATCGCGGACTTGCACTGTGACACTTCACCGACGTCGATGCAATTTCTGGTGGCTACAACGATAGCTGGATGTCAGTCAAAACATCGGACCTGCGTGATCTCCAGTGACTCGAATGCCGTGACCGTCTGCAAGTGGCTCTACGACCACGCTTCACCTTCATCACTAGCCGCCATTCGGTCACAGTGGTGTGCGGACCATTTCGAGCATCAGTCGCGGTTCTGACAGTCGCCTTTATCAGGGGGCACGTGATTGGCCGCCTCAAGGTCACGTCAATTTCTCAAAAGACCAATCTCGCCGGAAAGGTCATCTCTCCTGACGCTACAAATGATCACGTCCATTGGAATTTTGTAGTAGCCGTGGATTGTCCGTATTCGTTGTAGACGCCACCAACGACTTCGTGAACGATCAAAACACTAAAGTGTGTTTTGCTACCATCCAAAACCAGATGAATTCAAAATCGACTTGTTGTAACCACTAGTTTGTGGGATTGTGTGTAGTTTTTGCGCCTTAATTCTGATTGGTGCCAAATCCTTGTTCCCAATTTCGCCAATTATGCACTAGATTCTGATTACGTTATGTAGCATTTCGCATGCAGCATCCGGATATTTGCATTGAACAATGCCTTTCAAACAGCAGGACAAGGCGGGCATTGGAGGTCCACGATTTTCGAAACGTCTAGATTCCTGCAGATGTTTGCTGCTTTTCAGCGAATTGTGCGCAACACATCAATGGACTCTCTACGCTTACACTCTACTTACACACAGTCACGTGATTAAAATGAGCTATAACTTCATGGAACCGATATTCCACTGTTGCCAAGTGACCTTAATCGGCCTGTTCACGTGTCCAGTTATAACTGCTGACTTTAAACTGGCCATTCGGCGGTGCTGGTGTGACCTTGAGTTGACCCTGACGCTGACCATTGTCGGTCGTGTTGGAGTACATCAATTTTATCGAATTTGATTTGAGACAGAATCGATTTGAATTCGCTAGTCACTGTGGTCCCCTGTCGCATCACATCGAAGCAATTGGCATGTGGCTCCTTAACACGATATAATCCGCATTAAATCCACATTGCTTCATATTACCGTTTCTAATTAAGTAGTACCTCGAGTACTGTCCCGAAGTCTCCCTTGCCTCACAAATTACTGAGTTCCTTCGAGCGACACACGCATTAAGATTAATGGCACTACCCTATGAGCTTACGGTTTTAGTTATGACAAAAAAGAATTTGATGCAGGAAAAACGTTTTTTTGCACGAGAGGGAAACAATAATGTCGTGCACCTGCAAGCACTCCGCATTTCCGGTTCTCTCTCTCTCTTGCGTGTCCCAATAGCCAGACAGATGCGAACTACGGTGATGTGAGGGGGCTTGGCGCAGCCCACAATACCTCTGCAGTTCCTGCTTGGAATTGCTTTCCGTGCGTGCGTGTGGGTGCAGCTTTCCAAATTATGCACGGTTGTTCCGTCGAAACCACGAGTTTACATGAGATTGTGGGACTCACCTGATTGGAGATCTTCAGGATCCAAGTTGGCGGGATAATGAGCTTGGCGTGCTGCCCGAGGAGGCAGTTTCCGGAGAGCAGAGCGGACTTGAAGCAGTCGGGCTTGTGGTGGTAGCAGAGTCGACACCACGAGCACTGCATGTACACAGTGTCCTGAAAGAATGCATAATAAGCTGATTCGGGAAAGAAGCTTCCATCTCATTGGTGCCCACGTCAACCACAACCAACTAATTGGGACTATTCTAAAGTCTTCGAGTGTCACAGTCAAAATGGCGACTCTTTCAGTAATTCCATCTACCCCTTGTGCTACACAAAAGATTGTTGTGAATCGTATTAATCCACGCCCCTTAATTCGGTCTCTCCACCTCCGACACAGGGTTCTTCTTTTCGCAGCATGTCGCCAGCTGCGCAGATCCTCAACTCACCCCTCATTCACACGGATATTTATCTTGGATTATCCCCACGCCTAGGTCTCGATGTTAGCACATCCATGACTCACACATCCGAGGTATAGATACACACGCACAAACCCCACACACGACACAACGACACCAATGTGGTTGAGCTCTGAAGTAAACGGTTGTGTCCACGTCCTCTCCGATCTTTTTCTTCTTCGCGAGCATTAGGGAAACGTAATCGGTCAGGGTTAATTCTATGGCCTCGGCGTGGTTTAGGATCACATACTGGGGCTCATAACAAGACCATAAAAGGATGTTACATCACTGATTTTTGAAATATGTCAGAGATTCACCTTGGCTACAAGTTAAGTGAAAGTTATTCGCTGAGACTGTCTCACAATGCTTACTATCGTCAGGGATGTGACATCCATTGTGATCAACCACGTCCCAGCCTCAAACCATCATACCACCGACGCCAAATGAGTAACACCATCCATCGATTTGGGCTCTATGGTACAAAGAAGCGGGTTGTGGCTATCTAATGGTGCACAGGAAATGCAAGCTCACTTCTTACTGGCTTCTACAATTCCCGTGGACTAAAAAATATGTGCAGAATACAATTCCTTCGCAATTTCCAAACAATGGCAGCATTATCAGACTGATTCTTACGCCAAAGTAACGAGCTGTAGACATAAGTTGCAGTATGGTTTTTTTCAGTTTGTTCTAATTAAAAAACTAACCGGTACGGTGACCGTTTTCAATTGTCCTTTTCACTGACTTTCACTACATTTTGGTGGCATTCAAGATGTGTAAGGCAAGTGCTGACTCAGCTCACTGAATAATTTCCATCGAATTCGTGACTTCTCTTGATAAATTATCACTATGAATCACAGATCTCGTAGATTTGTGTAAAGTCGCACAGTGCCTTCTCGTTGTGACAACTGAGGTTGTTTCAGGGCTATCAGGTCATGCCTAAATGTGAGGGCTTAGATTAGACAGGAGGGTACGACATGGGTTGATTCGCCAATGACTGTGAGTGTTGCGATCATTTGTTTTACAGTTGTGCATCGTTTTTGTCAGTGTCAGCATGTAAACAATAAAAACCAATCATCGTTCTTAAAATATGCGCACATTTGAACTGTGAATTTGCACAAGAAACCTGAACTGACTATAATTAGCTTCGCATTGGACAATTCCCTACGAGCCACGACCTTGAGAATCAACAGAAGGAGTGAAACTTATTCATCAAGCGGTGGATTCGCACACACATTCATAACTTAGCCTACAAAGTGGACAGCGTCTGCTAGCCAATGATTGGACCAGGGTTCGCGCGAAAATTTGAACCATTAAACACGTTCCGCTGCACGAAATCGCAGTTCGTGTTTAGACTTACCTTAAATTTGAACTTGTTCTGTATCCACTAAAAAGAAAGGATGTATCTTAGTAAGAACTGCTAAGAATTAGAACGAACGGGATGTAGACCCACATCTACATGTGTCGTTTTAATGCAATGTTTCACGCTAAACTAGTGATTTCCGATAGGTTCTAAAAAAAGATTTCGGTAAGCCTAAAGAAGGTCTCGGGCTTCGTACGAAAATTTGTAAAAAAAACGAGGATGGAACGAACCTTGCCACATGCCTGACACCGATTTTCCTGCTGACGTCGAAGCACCCAATGATGTTTCACGGTTAGCTAAAATAATTACATTTATTCTGTTGGTGTTGTAAAATCGATCGTCCGTAAAGGAGAAAAATGCCCAACGAAATTTGAATGTTTTTATTTCATTGTGGGGTTCAGTTACCTAACCCTTATTTCATCCAATCAAAACACAGAACTGGCGACACAGACGTCATCTAACCACCTAATTTCACACCAATCGATAAATCGTGACTCGGCCTTAGTGAAATTGCGCTACAATTAATTGATTTTTTTTATTATTGGTGCGTTGAATCAAAACACAGAACTAGCGTCAATGACGTCATCTAACCAGCTGATTTCACACCAATCGATAAATCGTAACTCGGTCTAAGTGAAGTTGCACTATAATTTATTGATTTTTTTATTGTTGGTCCGTTGGGCGGTAATTAGCCAAGTGCCGGTTAAATGCGCACTTGGAAATGCACACGGGAGTCACTGCGGACGAACAAAGTCGAAATTCCACCTCACCTGACAACGATTCCTGTCGCGGTAGATCGAAGAGGCGACCTGGCGGAATGTGGGTTTGCACTTGACGTCCAGCTGTGGATGCAAAACACACCAATGACAATGCGCACAGCAAAAGCTCGACATGACAATCGATATTACTGCGTGGCAGGTAGGCTGGTTCTTTCAAATTTATCAGCGCGTGAGGTCGTGGGCGATTGAAGTTAGGACAAGAGCTGAACGCCCTCAGGGACAATGATTTGTTAAAATTGACGTTGCTGCTTTTTTTGCGATGGGTAAAATGTCCATAGCTGGCACAGACAACCTCTTACCCGGGGAATGCAGGCAGTATGGCAGATAATTTTGCAGGCGGAGCACTTCTTTCTAGGACCAAACTTCTAAAACAGAAAAATTAGGAAAAAATGAGCAAATAGTTTGTGAAAACCCTTCACTGGAAATCGGTTTATCAGTGATGCGACAGGGAACTACAGTGACTAGCGAATTCAAATCGATTCTGTCTCAAATCAAATTCACCAAAATTGATGAGCTCAAACACGACCGACAATGGTCAGCGTCAGGGTCAACTCAAGGTCACACCAGCACCGCCGAATGGCCAGTTTAAAGTCAGCAG